CTACTGGGTTCAGAGAGACCTAAACCTCGAAGCTGCCAAACAAAACTATATAAACAAATTATCAAGTCTCACAATTAGAATGAGCTCGTTAGCAATACCATCCCCTCACCAGTGGAGGGGTCCTGGATCTTCAGGTCTTCCCCAACCCTCCAAGCCAGTTCTGTCACTGATGTGCATATGATTAGATGTCCAGTGTAGGGTTCCCAGGTTGTCATCAAGCCATGTAAGTCCTGCTGCTTCTAATCTAATTGCTGGCCATCTTTGGATTTTCCCCAGCAGGGGCCAATTGCCCAAGCTATATATACTATACTCATGGTCTGGGAGATGATTGCAATGTTCTACTCTGGCCATCTCACATGTCGACAGGCTGTGTTGGCCCTGTTGTTAGATTCGCCTTTATCCTTGGCTCTTCCAAAGGATGTTGCACAAATTTTATCCTCAGTTGCAGCTTTGTGCCGGCCATATTCTCATCTGTTATGTACTCGGGATTCTCTTCCTCACTGTCGGAGGTTGTCTGGTAGGGCCAGGGCTTTGCCTGCTAATGGTCAGGGTATGTACTCATTGGAGACTGCTTTTGGGTTGTATGTGCTACCAGCTGTAAGTTTTTCTACTCGTCAGCGCTGCTCTTATGCCTCTCGGAAAGACAGCTGTTCATGGTTTGCTCTTTCATGGGGCAATTGGGGACGGGTGGCTCACCTATTTAGCCGACTCCTGGTCCCACAATTTGTGGGCTTTTCAGGTTGTTTCTTGAGGCCTTTGCTGGAGTTGGTCAGTCCTTCCCTCGTCCCAGGGATTGGAGCTCACTTCATTCCATCCCAGGTTTGGACTTGGCTGGGCCTAGTGTGCAGGTCTTGGTCAGCATCGCTTTTCCTATTTTTTTTTTTTTTTTTTTTTTTTATTATTATTTTCTACCACAGACGTGGCCACACATTTACAATGCTAACCAGCATATATACATTTTCTTCTGTCCTCCATGGACAGGGTTAGAGAAATGTTAAACATAGAGTTCAGGGGTTTATTGAACACTCAACCACAGAAGGTGATTCGGTGCTTTTAAAATGCTAAGCTAACCTACATACGTAAATACATAGATACACAGATTTACGTATGCCCTACATAAAGTGTTTGATGTGTCTTTTACATAGTGTCATTAATGTACATTCACAAAGGTGAAATGTAATTCTGATCAGCTTCCATATATACTTTATACCCATACATATACATACATATACACACACATGCATTCACATACATCTGTCTCATTTACTCTGACAGGGTGAGATAGCTGATAAAGAAACTAGTGTGCAATTAAGCACTTAATCACTGAAGGTGATGAAGGTGCTTTTACAAGCTCAGGTTATATAGTTACATCATATAACATTGAATAAATGATATATTGAATATATCGTTTTTCCTTCTTTGGCAACTTTGCTCCAGCTACAGCATCACCGTCTTCTGGTGTTGACACAGCCCTGGGTGACTCAGCAGTTATTTGAGCAGTTCTGCAGGAGTCTGAACTTTGCCTGCATGATCTTCCCACTGGGCAAGGTGTGGCTTTGGGGGTTGTTCTGGTTTCTCAGTTTTGCTGTAGCTGCAGTTGTTGAGTTTGGGGACCTGATTGCCATTTGTCAGCCTCTGACTCGCCAGCTTTCTTTTCAGGGTTCAGTTCCTTGGCACCTTTCTCCACTGTCGCTCATTATGTTTACAAACAAGTCTGCTCCGTGCTAGAGTTTCATGTCCAGCGCTCATCACACCACCCAAGGTCATTAGTTAGGACCATTACATCAGGCGCACAGTATGGTGTGCAATTTTTTGGCAGTGCAGCATGCTCTGAGAAGGGTTCAGATTCCTCCGAGCTCTGTGCTTTGGCTTCATTTGGACTGTTCCATCAGTGGTTCATTGCCTGAACTGGGGAAGGGGGGGGGGCTTTCTTCGGTTCATTGCCCTTTGGAACTGGATGCTGCGGGTAGCTTGTCTCCTGAATTCTCAGTGTTTGGTTCTTCACACTGTTGACATTCAGGGAATATCCAATGTTTTCATGAATGTTCTCATGAACAAATCCACAAGGGCCGTGACGAGGATTCGAACCTGCGTCCGGGAGCATCCCAGACACTGCCTTAATCGACTGAGCTACGACAGGGTTAAAAGGGTTGAAACCGAAGTTCTACTGAACTTACTGGATCCCATAGCCTCTCCGAGGCACAAACCAGGCTTTTACACAACCCCCCCTGCACCCGAGCTAAAGTTTAAAAGCCTGGTTTGTGCCTCGGAGAGGCTACGGGATCCAGTAAGTTCAGTAGAACTTCGGTTTCAACCCTTTTAACCCTGTCGTAGCTCAGTCGATTAAGGCAGTGTCTGGGATGCTCCCGGACGCAGGTTCGAATCCTCGTCACGGCCCTTGTGGATTTGTTCATTTGATGCATCACGTTAGTGTGATCTCTGTGTGTGATGAATGTTCTCTCTCACTTCCTTCCCATCATCATGGAGTAGCTTGTAAATGTCACCTCCTTCCAGTGTCTTTGCGAGATGTTCTGGTGTCCCGACATGAATGTCTTTGTGTCGGCTTTGAATCATCATCTGCTCTATGTAGTTTCATTTCCCAAACGTGATGCCCCCGCAGTGGATATCTGTCAACTGGACTGGTCATAGTGGGGTTTCTTTACCTCTTTTTTTTTCCCTGGTCCAGCCGTTGCTATGGGTTCTGGCTATGTTGGAGTCTTTCCAGGGACAGGTGGTCCTTCTGGCTCCTGGGTGGCTGGTTCAGCCTTGGTTTCAAATGCTGCTTGCACGGTGATGGATCTGGATCTTTTTCTGCAGCTCTATCTCTTTCAGAAGATTGGTCAGGTATGTTCCTCTCCTTTTCTGGTAAAGAATGAGTTGATGGGCTTCCAGAAAGGTCATTTGGTTGTTGATGCTTGGTTGGTTTGGTCAGGGGTGCATCATGTAATGTGCCAAGTAACAGCTCTTTGCTGCTACCCTTGTGCTACCAATTTTGCCTTAGTGGATGCCTTTTGGGTTGATCCTTCTTTCTTGGTTCTCTATTCTAGGCTCGCATTTATCAGGTCATCCACAGTTTTATTATGTCCAGTCAGCCTGTGGTCTACCCTTGTGCCCATGATGATTATAAATACAGTATAATGCTCTCGCAACTAACTTTGCTAACATATCCTGGGCTAATATTCAGGCATTGGGGTTTTGGCAGTCTAACGGTCTTGGTGGCCCAGTATTTAGTTAACGTTCCTGGGCCTCGTCATGTCTGTGTTGGCTTCTCTCTCTCGGGTGAATATTTCTTCCACTCAAATACTTGCAGTCTCTTCTCCTGTTCATTAAGTTCCTTGTCTTTCTTCTCCATTGGCAGTTAACTTTAGGAAGCCACAAGGGGCTCCTTCATTCCCTTCCTCCCATTCAGGATCATTGGAGGGTGAGTATCATCTTCACATCTGTTCCTGAACTGGCTTGGAGGGCTGAAACCCTGAGCCCTCTATTGGTGGTGGGGGGGTTAGTAATTACTTAAGTGTATTGTTGACCAGACCACACACTAGAAATTGAAGGGACGACGACGTTTCGGTCCGTCCTGGACCATTCTCAAGTCGATTGTGATGAGGACAGGTAGGGACAGGCATTAAATAGGCAAGAGAGAGCTGAGGAGGAAAGTCAGGTGTAGGGGATAGTAGTAATGAGAACTTCAGCAGGCCTATTGGCCCATACGAGGCAGCTCCTATTATAACCACCGAAGGAGATAGTAATAGGAATAAGAAGAGGATAGCAAGGGTGCGTAGAAGACAATGAACAGAAAAAGGGAGAAGAGAGAAAGAAAGGGAAAGAGAAAGAAAGAAATGGAAGGGGGAAAGCTTATGTTAAGTCACGTTTGTTAGAAAGATTAGAGCATTTGAGTATATACTGTGAAAGGGAAGAGTCCACAGCAACAAAGCCAGGACTCAAGTTCATGTTGGGTACAACATGTATTGGATTCTAATCATCTCATTGATTGGTCTTCCTCCAAAATAATCTTTCCTGCCTCTACTCTACACAGACGCCGTCTTGTAGAATCGGCTCTTATTAACAATGTACCCAACATGAACTTGAGTCCTGGCTTTGTTGCTGTGGACTCTTCCCTTTCACAGTGTATACTCAAATGCTCTAAACTTTCTAACAAACGTGACTTAACATAAGCTTTCCCCCTTCCATTTCTTTCTTTCTCTTTCCCTTTCTTTCTCTCTTCTCCCTTTTTCTGTTCATTGTCTTCTATGCACCCTTGCTATCCTCTTCTTATTCCTATTACTATCTCCTTCGGTGGTTATAATAGGAGCTGCCTCGTATGGGCCAATAGGCCTGCTGCAGTTCTCATTACTACTATCCCCTACACCTGACTTTCCTCCTCAGCTCTCTCTTGCCTATTTAATGCCTGTCCCTACCTGTCCTCATCACAATCGACTTGAGAATGGTCCAGGACGGACCAAAACGTCGTCGTCCCTTCAATTTCTAGTGTGTGGTCTGGTCAACATACTTCAGCCACGTTATTGTGACTCATCGCCTACTTAAGTGTAGTTTTAGATAAGAGCTACGCTCGTGGTATCCTGTCTTCCCAGTACTCTTTGTCATATAATGCTTTGAAACTGCTGACTGTTTTGGCCTCCACCACCTTCTCACTTACCACTCTGTTTGCAAAAGAGTGCTAATGAAATGCTAATTTAGAGTAATTTGATAATTTGTTTACTTTGTGGTAATTTGGCGGTTTCAAGGCTTCAGTCTCTTTGAAATCAGCAGTGGTCTGTATTGGTTCACTGCCTTTCTGGATGCTTTTCCAGTGGAGTGGCTGCTCTCTGTACCTCTATGAAGAAAGTATGGTTCTAATTCTAGTCCTTGGAAGGCAAAACAGAACTCTGCAGCTGATGTGACCTAGCAATTGGGAGGCATCTCAGCAAGATAGCTTCAGGGAGCCACCAGGGCTGATCCAGAAAGAGGTGTTACATTACATTCAAAGCTGTTATTTTTTTCAGTAACTTGGCTTTATGTTGAATGAGCCTATTAAAAGAAACCAACTAGGGCTACTGTGCTGGAATCTAGGAAGTCTTGAGCCATGGCAGTGGTTACAATCAAGATGATTAAACTTTTTGTGGCTTACTTGGAATCTGGAATCCGCTTCACAGTTGATGCTGGAGTTGCTCTTCTGAAGCAGTGGTTGAAGTGAGTTAAAAAATGTGATATGAAAATGTTTTGCCGTACTAGCTTAAAACCATGAAGGCATATTGATTTACTTTACTAAAGTTATTTACTTTAGGTTTTATCATTGTAAAGGTAGTTTTCTGTATGCAACTTAAGAGTGTCTAAAAAGTATATACTTTTACAGTTGTATTGATTAAATATCAGCATTTCTGGTGGGTGTTTCACCTGGTTAGCTCGAAGCTTACAGAACCCGACCAGGCCCTTTGAGTCATTTAGTAGTTTCAACGTATTATACAATAAAGAGTACTGGGAAGACAGGACACCATGAGCATAGCTCTCATCCTGTAACTACACGTACGTAATTATTCAGATAATTACACACACACACACACACAAGGAGCACATAAAGAACATTGTGAGAGGAGTTTTTTTTTTATTATTATTTTCTACCAGAAACGTGGCCACACATTTACAATGCTAACCAGCATAAATACATTTTCTTCTGTCCTCCATAGACAGGGTTAGAGATCAGTTAAACATATAGTTCAGGGATTTATTGAACAATCAACCACAGAAGGTGATTGATTGAAGGTGACTTAAAATGCTAAGCTAACCTACATACGTAAATACATAGATACGCAGATTTACGTATGCCCTACATAAAGTGTTCGAAGTGTCATTAATGTGCATTTACAAAGGTGAAATGCAATTCTGATCAGCTTCCATATGTACTTTATACACATAAATATACATACACACACATATATACGTACATATACATGTATACATGCATATATACACACACATGCATTCACATACATTTGTCTCTTTTTTTTACTCTGACAGGGTGAGATAGCTGACAGAGAAACTAGTGTGCAATTAAGCACTTAATCACTGAAGGTGATTAAGGTGCTTTTACAAGCTCAGGTTATATAGTTACATCACATACATACATTGTATAAATGATACATTACATGGTCAATCTTGGATACAAGTCCAATATATCGTCAAGTGTTCCAGTACTCATATAGTAATTACACAGTTCAGCATACCTCAGCCCAGGAGGGCGAAAGTAAGACAATATGGGACATTCTACAATATAATGTTCAAGAGAGTGCATGTTTTCTCTTTCACAAAGTTGACACATTGTGTACTCGACATTTAGGTTTTGAGAAAGCTGCCAGATATGTCTATATCTAAGAGGAGAGGAGTGTATATCTGTGAGAGGAGTGTATGCATCGCTTTCCAACTTCAGAATTGCTTTTACATACATGGATGGAGAAATACTAAAGAAATTGTTCATGGCTTTTGTTAGACCAAAGCTGGAAAATGCAGTGGTTGTATGGTGCCCATATCTTAAGAAGCAAACTGGAAAAGGTGTAAAGACATGATACTAAGTGGCTCCCAGAACTGAAGGACAAGAGCTATGAGGAGAGGTTAGAGGCATTAAATATGCAAAAACTAGAAGACAAGAAAAAGAGGCGATATGATCACTATGTACAAAATAGTAACAGGAATCGATAAAATTGATAGGGAAGAATTCCAGAGACCTGGAACTTCAACAACAAGAGGTCATAGATTTAAACTAATGAAACAAAGCTGCCAGAGAAACATAAGAAAATTCACTTTCGCAAATAGAGTGGTAGACGGAGCAAGTTGGGTGAGAAGGTGGTGGAGGCCAAAACCGTCAGTAATTTCAAAGCTTTATATGACAAAGAGTGCTGGGAAGATGGGACACCACAAGCATAGCTCTCATAATGTAACTACACTTAGATAATTACACACACAACCCCCCCCAAGAAGCAGCTTGCAACAGCTGTCTAACTCCCCAGGTACCTATTTACTGCTAGGTATCAGGGACATCAGGGTGAAAGAAACTGCCCATTTTGTTTCTGCCATTACCGGAAATTGAACTCAGACCCAAGGATTACGAGTCAAGAGCACTGTCTACTTAACCATTAGGTTCCCTACATGTGGTGCTTCCTAGCGTTCCCGCACTGGTTCTCGTAAATTCTCGGACGCCTCCGAGGACAGTACAGTACGTTGTATACATTAACCCTTAAGTTGCGCAACACATCATATGAAGGGTTGAGTGACTTGCTATAAATTAAATTGCGCATCCCATTATGTTTTTTTTTTTTTTTAAGATATATACTGTACAGGCATACCTCAGAATACGAGTTTAATCCGTTCCTGGAGACGCCTCGCCTTCCGAAAACTCGCATTCCGAAGTTAATTTCCCCATAAGAAATAAAGGGAAATGAATTAATCCGTTCCTGACTACCCCAAAAACCCCACATCAAACTAAATTTTTATACCTAATTTACCTAATTCATCTAAATAAACCTACAAAACTGTGTTCCAGTTATTACTTACCTTGCTGTCGAGTGCTGTAGGCGTATGGAAGATGGTGAGGAGGGGGGAGGAGGAGAGGAGTTACTGTTTGGAAGGGGAGTCCCCTTCCATAATCACATCACATAACCCCATGCCTTGTAACACTATGGATACCACTTCTCTTTCTAAATTTTTCAAACCAGCCCCTGCTTGCCTTAAACTCTTTATCTGCATCACTCGTTGCAGGGGTATTCTTTAGAAGGTCTTCGTGCAACACCCTGGCTTTCTCACAAATAATGGCCTCCGAAACACTATCACCCCTCAACTCCTTGTCGTGTATCCAAATTAATAACAACTTTTCCACTTCTTCAAGTATTTGTGGTCTTTGTGCCGTTAATGTTCTTACTCCTTTTGCCACTTTAGCACCCTTAATCTTATTTTTCTTCTTAAGTATAGTGCATATTGTTGATGTGGCTTTGTTGTACTGCCTACAAAGTTCAACAACACGTGTACCGTTCTCATGCTTCCGAATGATCTCTTGTTTCTCCTCTATTGTCATCCTCACATGAGCTTTCTGGCCTTTATCCTTACCACTGGCTTTCTTGGGACCCATGGTGAGATATATAATAACAAATTGTATAGACAAATCACCAAAAATCCAACAAAACACTGAAAATCCGCGAGAAGAATTGATGTGGGGGTAGTCACTGAGCGTGAGACAATGGTAAACTGAGGGGCGGAGGGGCGACGATCGCCGAACCACCACGCGCTAGGTCGGCCTATACGCGTATCAACAAACTCGCGTCCCGAAGTAACCCTCGCCTTCTGAGACAAATTTTTGGAGTAAATACTGCTCGCCTTCCGAAAACCTCGCATACAGGGACAATCGCATTCCGAGGTACCACTGTACAAGAGTTGTTACATTCTTGTACAGCCACTAGTACGCGTAGCGTTTCGGGCAGGTCCCTGGAGTACGATCCCTGCTGCGAAGAGTCGTTTGTACAACCAAGTACCCATTTTACTAGTGAGTTAAACAGAGGCTACAGTTAAGGATTTGCGCCCAGTAAATCCTTAACTCTAGCCAGGATACAAACTCATGACAAAGCTCTCGCGGAACACCAGGCGAGTGTCTTACCACTACACCACGGAGACTGGTAAAACCGGAGTATTGGTAAAGTATTGGAGTACTATGCGAGATTTAAACGGCCCGCGGATACACGGGGTTCACCTCACCTTCATTGGGGCTCTTGTAAACAGACGCCATTTAAAAAAAAATCGTGGGCCAAATTCCCGGGTGTGAGGGCCTCAGTATTGAGTGAGCCACCAAGCCTGACACATGCAGCATGAGCTCACAGCACTGCTGTTCAGCTTGTGACCACAGCATTGCCTAAAAATGCCGTAATATACATGTTTATGCTATTATTTAGCGAAGATATTATTACAGAAGACCCCTGACTGTGATAAAAATAACCAGGATTCTGATAATAGCAGGATTGTTGTGATAATTAGCGCTGTAGTGGGAGGAGTAATCTTGGTAGGGATGGCGGTAGCATTGTCTGCTGACTGTGTGTGACCACCTTTTACTGTCTAGACTCGCTATACCAGCTTAGTTGTTCGCTATGGTAAACAAAACATGCAGATACTTATACAGTAAAATATATTTGGAACTGTGTGCAAAAAATGAACAAAAATATATTCGCGGCAACTCGTGCGCCCCGCCCCGGGCGCCCCACTGGCCCCGGGAGCTTACGGCATGGGTGCACAGGGAATGATGACGTCACGCGCCACCTTACGGACCCCATAGGAGCCAAAGTAACTACAATTTCGAAATTCCGTTGCTATACCCATATACAGGGAGGGGTTTTTGACACTTTCAGGACAAAAAATAATTTTTTCCTGAGAATTTATTTCTTGCGCACTGGGGGGGTGTCATATTTATAGGCCACGCAGTCAAAGGGTTAAACACTATATTATTTTCTGTAGTCCATAGAGAGACCTGATTTACATCTGATTGTAGATCCATCTGCCTATTTTTCCGGTAATTCCTTTTGAACGCATTTTATGTGCAATAACACCATGGTCACATTTATCAAATGCGAAATCTGTGTAAATTACTTCAGTGTTTTGTTTGTCTTCCATAGCATCTAATGCCATATCATAGTGGTCCAGCAACTGCGACAGGCAAGAGCGTCCTGTTCTGAAACCATGTTGTCTGGGGTTATGGAGATGCTATGATTCCATGTATTTTGTGATCTTACTTCTTAGCATTCTCTCAAAAAATTTTATGATATGCGATGTTAGTGCTATCGGTCTGTAATTTTTTGCCTCTGCCTTATTTCCCAGAGATACCACCACTTCTTTATGGAGTGGTGCTATCTCTGCTGTTTTTAGTATGTCAGGGATAACACCAGTATCTAGGCTTTGTCTCTACAGAATGTGAAGGGCCTGTGATAGTGTTTTTTTACAGTTCTTGATGAATATGGAGTTCCAAGAATCCGGGCCTGGTGCAGAGTGCATAGGCATACTGTTTATGGCTTCTTCAAAATCCAGTGGGGATAGGGTGACGTCTGATATATGATTTGATGTTGGTATCATATCCATGAAAAATTCTTTTTTGGGTTATCAATCTTTAGTGTGTTTAATGGCTCACTGAAAACAGAGTCGTACTGCTTCCTCAGTAACTCGCT